AACAGCCTGAAACCGGTATTAACAACAGCCTGAAACCGGTATTAACAACAGCCTGAAACCGGTATTAACAACCTGAAACCAGTATTAACAACCTGAAACCGGCATTAACAACATCCTGAGACCGGTATTAACAACCTGAAACCAGTATTAACAACAGCCTGAAACTGGTATTAACAACAGCCGGAAACCGGTACCAACACCCTGACACCGGGCACAGACACCCTGAAACTGAGCACCATCAGCTGCTGCACGGCCAGTGAGCTGGGCCTCTGGAACAGCTGTGGGGAGAGCAAAAACACCCTGAGACCGGTATTAACAACCTGAAACCGGTATTAACAACCTGAAACCGGTATTAACAACCTGAAACCGGCATTAACAACATCCTGAGACCGGTATTAACAACCTGAAACCAGTATTAACAACAGCCTGAAACTGGTATTAACAACAGCCGGAAACCGGTACCAACACCCTGACACCGGGCACAGACACCCTGAAACTGAGCACCATCAGCTGCTGCACGGCCAGTGAGCTGGGCCTCTGGAACAGCTGTGGGGAGAGAAAAAACACCCTGAAACTGGAATTAACACCCTGAAACCGGTATTAACAACAGCCTGAAACCGGTATTAACAACACCCTGAAACCAGTATTGACACCCTGAAACTGAGCACCATCAGCTGCTGCACGGCCAGCGAGCTGGGCCTCTGGAACAGCTGTGGGGAGAGCAGAGACACCCTGAGACCGGTACCAACAGCCTGAAACCGGTACCAACAGCGTGAAACTGAGCACAGACAGCCTGAAACCGGTACCAACAGTCTGAAACTGGGCACAGACAGCTGGAAACTGGGCACAGACAGCCTGAGACCGGTATTAACACCCTGAAACCGGTACCAACAGTCTGAAACTGGGCACAGACAGCTGGAAACTGGGCACAGACAGCCTGAGACCGGTATTAACACCCTGAAACCGGTACCAACAGTCTGAAACTGGGCACAGACAGCCTGAAACTGGTACTAACACCTTGAAACTGGGCACAAACACCCTGAAACCAGGCACAAACACCCTGAAACCAGGCACAAACACCTTTAATCTGGGCTCCAACACCCCTTAAATCAGGCACAAAACACAGTTTCCTTCAAACAGGCACAAATACACAATCAGCGCTTAACTCAAGTACAAACAGCACTTAAACCAGGCACAGAGCATAAACAGTATCCTTAAACTGGGGACAAATCCACAAACACCGCTTAAATCCAGCACAAAACACAAACAGTGACCTGAAATCACACACAAAACCACAAACACTGCCCTTAAATCCAGCATGAAACACACACACACCAACACTGCTGAAATCACACACAAACACACCAACACTGCTGAAATCACACAC